AAAAAAAAAAAAAAGAAAAAGAAAGAGAGAAACTAAAATAATAATGATAATAATAACAAAAAACAGGACCAGCCTACCAAGGCGGCAACATCCTCCGCATGTACCAAATCCTCGTGGCATACACCACCCAAAACTCAATCGACTACTACGACGCCATCATGCCCCTCCATAGCTTTCTTTACACCCGCATCATAATCTTTCTCTTCGGTACAATGGGCCCCAGTCTATCCTTCTCTAAGAACGTTAATTCACCGTTCGTCTACGCTGAGGCTGTCTTCGGGGGTGCGTTGATCGCTATCGGACATTGTACGAAGCTGAGCGCCATAGTTGCGTATTTGTTGCTCGTGCATGCTGTGGGGAAAGTTAGTACGTTTGCTGGGTGGAGGGCTTGGGTGGAGAGGTGGGGTTTTCTTCTTCCTTTATCTCTCTTCTTTCTTTTTCTTTTTTAGTCTCTTTTTTGTCTTTCTGTTTCATCGACACGTTTATGAGGTTACTAATCAGGATGGGTTTGTTAGCACGAAGAAACCACCCCAGGATCCCGGATTGCTGGTTAGGGTTCTGAGGTTTGTGGGGTTTTTTGAAGATCGTGAGGACTGGGCGGATGCGACGGTGACTTCTCCTGGTGAGACTCCGCAGATTGGGAATCTGCCGATGGATAAGTTGGGACATCAGTATGCGAGATTAGGGTTTGAGGGATGAGTTTGGTAAGGGAGAGGAGGTGGCCGGGATTGTTAAGGTATAGAGTCTACTGGATACTGTTAAATGTAGTTGATGCTGCTCTCACTTGAAAGGAGATATATAGATATTGTTTAGATTACTGATAGGTACATATATAAGTTAGGTAAATGGCAAGGTTGGATATAACCGTCAAGTTGTGAGAACCTTATATCTCGCCAGGTATCGAATGTTCGAATGTATGTATGTATGTTTGTACGCCAGCTATGGTTGACTAATTATATGCACAGTCAACGTGGAGTTGCCCCTCATAGAATTGGGTGGTCACTGACGTACATCCTCATTCTAAGATAGGTTCTTAAATAATATATGAGAGGGCTTTTTTTTTTTTTTTTAACTCCGTGAACCTTGCTTTTGGGAAAATAGTCACTTTACCAGATATGTTGGCCCCTTGCCCGACCTCAGACGACATTGAAATCTGCATCATATGTGCCTTACCACTGGAAGCTGCTGCGGTCCTTGCGGTTTTCGATAGGATATACGATACCAGTAATTCAGGATGTAGCTGGACCACAGAATGCTACCCTAGAAGATTATACCATGGGTCGGATCGCCGGCCACGACGTAGTTCTAGCCCGCTTACCCAAGATGGGGAAAGGCAGCGCTGCCAGCGCGGTAGCTGGGCTCACAGAATGCTTCCAAAAGCTTAAGCTAACTCTTCTCGTTGGGATTTGTGGCGCCGTACCGAAACAGCCTAATGGGGAGGAGATCATTCTTGGAGACGTTATTATCAGCGAAAGTATTACCGAGTGTAGTCTTGGGAGACTACAAGGGTCCAAGGAAATTCGATTCTCAGAATACAATGTGATAATACCAGACGCGGAAACTAGGGCATTTATCGCAAAATTGAAAGTAAGACGAGTCAGGCTCGAGAAACGGATCTGTGATCATCTCCAAAGAACAGCGACTGCAGATATCTACCCTGGATTATACGAGGATAGACTTTTTAAGCCAGACTACCACCATAAACACCGATGTGAACAAGATTGTGAAAACGGGTGCTTGTTTCAGGGTTCAACTTTATCCAGATGCTATAAGCTCCTCATGTGTGGAGTTGAGCTGCGATTCGAAGTTTCTTGTTTCTCGCTCTCGACTGCAAGTTGGTTTCAGTGGAAACCAGCCAGCCATTCATTTTGGTACATTTACATCAGGGGGTTCTGTTATGAAGTCTGGCAAACATCATGATGCAATTGCAGAAAAGGGGGATTTCCTCGCTTTTGAGATGGAAGCCGCGGGGGTATGCAAGTATCTCTCATGCGTAGTTGCGAAAGGTGTTTGTGATTATGCAGACAGCCACATAAATAAAGTGTGGCAGAGATAGTCTGGGCAGCAGCAGCAGCAGCAGCAGCAGCGGCGTCTGCCAAGTGCAATTCTAAAGGAGCTAATTACGTGTCATGAATTGGGCTATGATAATGTAAGTTCAAGCCCTGTCGTTTCCCGCCAGACTAAGAACTCACTTTTGGAGTTCTAGGCTTGTTTTCCATGGTTTTGTGTCGCATGGGACGACCATGCCTGTAAATCTGTGGTTCGAGTGGAGTTGTAGCATTTCTGGACTCTCTCTTACTCATGGAATATCCTTAAGTGGTCAGAAGATACTCTCTGAGGGTTTTGCATCGAAGTGCTTCAACTTTGCCATTTCTGTCTAACATGATAAATTAAGTTAACCTTGTCACATTCTCGCTATGGCTCTTATGATATCTTAAATACTTCGAAATATATATTGGAAAATTCATACTGCAAATCATCTGTTTTGCGAAACCCTAAATAGCTCAACGTCTGCTGACATAATGGCAGATCACCTGTAACTATAACTAACTAACAGCACCCAAGGTCCTTAAAGCAGAAATTCAATTGTTTGATTCATACCTGTCCTTCTATATTTGATTAGAAACAGTACATACAGTTCCTATTAGATATACCTAGAACTAAATGCTCTCCTCCCGTGGCGCCAAAAAGGCAGAATTGCCAAAGACTCCTTGGCGATATGCCCCTCCACATACATACAACAAGGAAACTAACCCCGCGGGGCTTATTTCATTTGGCATGGCAGAGCATGTAAGTTGACTCTTTGAGAAGCTCTATATCTGCATGGATTCACTACCAGTCAGATAGATACCAATGCGGACTGAAATAGCAAAGTACATCAACAACAAGGTTAATATCCCTAAACTCTAATAGTACTACTCATCTATATCCCCGGATGTCCAAGTTCACCTTTAATCGCACTCACACAGGTCACATTCACCGAGGACTCCGTTGGATATGGATCCAGCTCATCAAGTCGCAATCGCCTACCGAATGCAGTGGCCTCCCACCTCAACAACATTCTGAAGCCACTTTCACCGATTGAGCCAGAAACAGTCATTGTCGCCAGCGGCATCACTGCCATTGGGAGCATGCTCAGCTTCACACTGGCCGAGCCCACAGACGGTATCCTAGTCAGTCGACCAGTCTACGGACGCTTTGAACTCGATTACGGGGTCGAAGCAGATGTGCAGATCGTGTATGCAGACACGGATCCCGAGGAGGCATTTTCCCCTGTCGTGGTCGATAAGTACGAGGCAGCGCTCAAACGTGCAGAAGAGGATGGGACCAAGATTCGAGCAGTGTTGATCGTAAACCCGCATAACCCTGTAGGTAAGTATCATTTGTGAAGAATATCACTGGGATGAACATGATAGGTTACCTAGTGCCTGTACAGAGTTCTAAACGACAACAGGGCGCTGCTACCCAGCAGAAACACTAAAGGAAATCCTCCGATTCTGCAATAGACACAAACTCCACCTCATCAGCGACGAAGTATACGCATCCTGTGTCTTTGACTGGGGAGACCCGAGCGCAGTCCCTTTCACCTCGGTCTTATCCATCAGTACACCTGACCTGATCGACCCTAACCTCGTGCACTTACTGTATGGATTCAGCAAGGTAAGCCATTCTTCTCCCACCGACCCAATCTAATACTACCTACCAAATCAAGCTAATACTGTAACCAGGACTTCGCAGCCGGAGGCCTCCACCTCGGCTTCTTAATCACGCAAAACGCGTCCCTCCGTCAAGCATGTAAAGCAATATTGTCAGTCCCCTACTCCAAACACCCACCCAATACACTATCCACATCACACCATCTAATATATAATACATACACAAAGGAGACTCCACAATGCCTCAACAGCCTCCATAACAATCGGAGCAACCATCCTCGAAGACCAAGATTTCATCGCCCAATTCACCCAGAAATCCCGCCAAAGTCTAGCATCGACATACCGAATCGCCACATCAACACTTAACCAAGAAGGCATCAATTACGTTAAACGAGGGTAAGAGATACTTCTCTCTTTCTCTCTCTCTCTCTCTCTGTATCTTGGCCTATCGAGCCTATATCACCATGACAGAGTTGTATATGCGCCACTAACAGCATCCAGAAACGCAGGTTTCTTCATTTACATCGACCTCTCGCCCTACCTCCCTTATCCTGATCGTCCGGTTCAGGAGCGCGAATATGCCCTGGCGCGGAAGTTCCTGGATGCGGGGGTGTTTTTGCATCCGGGTGAAGAGCATGGGAAGCAGGGTGGGTGGTTTAGGGTTGTGTTTGCGCATGAAGAGGAGGTTTTGAGGGAGGGGCTGAGGAGGTATGTTTCCTCTTTTCCCTTTCT